GCCTCCTCAATCCCAAACTCCACCCTCATTTCCCCTGGATTCTCTCCTACAACACCTCCTCAACCTCTCTGCCACACCAAACGCTCCCCGCTGGTCCAAACCTCAGAGCAATAATACCCAGATGACTTCTTGGCATATTTCTGTTGATTCTAGTCAAAATCTCAATCGACAAGCACATCCCAAGAAACCCAGTTCGGTTTCAGTCTTGCAGTTGAACGGCAGTAAGGAGGAGGGTCAGTTGGGAGATGGGTCGTTTGAATTTTTGTTGAGAAAGGGTAAGTTTATGCTGGATTCAATCGTGGAACAGCCATTGCATAGCTTGAATGATTTCTTCGATTCTAACAAGCTTATGTTGCTTGAAGCTGATATATTTAGTTTATTGAAAGCATTAGCTCATTCGGGCAATTGGGAAAGAGCCCTTTTATTCTTTGAATGGGTAGTGTTGAATTTAAAGTCTTCTAATGTCAAAATAGACAATCAGGTTGTTGAGCTAATGGTTAGAATTCTTGGGAGAGAATCACAGCATTCGATTGCATCCAAGCTGCTCAATGTAATTCCGCTTGAGGATTATTCTCTTGATGTTCGAGCATATACGACCATTCTTCATGTGTATTCTCATACTGGCAAGTACAAAAGGGCAATCTCTGTGTTTGAGAGAATGAAGGAGACAGGGCTTTCTCCTACTTTAGTCACTTATAAGGTCATGCTTGATGTTTATGGGAAGATGGGTCGCTCTTGGGATAAAATTTTAGGCCTACTGGATGAAATGAGAAGCAATGGACTCAAATTTGATGAATTTATTTGCAGTACTGTGATATCTGCTTGTGGGAGAGAGGGTCTGCTAAATGAAGCAAAGGAGTCCTTTGCAAAATTGAAGTCCCAAGGCTATGTACCTGGGACGGTTACCTATAATGCAATGCTCCAAGTTTTTGGTAAGGCAAGGATTTATTCAGAGGCCTTGAGCATTTTGAAAGAGATGGAGGATAATAACTGTCCTGCCGACTCTGTAACATGTAATGAGCTTGTGGCTGCTTATGTGAGAGCTGGGTTTTACAAGGAAGGAGCAACCCTCATTGAGACAATGATGTGTAAAGGAGTGATGCCGAATGCTGTTACGTATACAACTATGATCAATGCCTATGGGAAAGCAGGAAAGGAGGATCAAGCTTTGAAATTGTTTGACAAGATGAAAGAGTCAAGATGTGTCCCTAACGTGTGCGCTTACAATGCTGTGCTTAGGATGTTAGGGAAAAAGTCACGATCAGAGGACTTTGTGACATGAAATCAAGTGGATGTTCCCCTAACCGCATTACGTGGAACACATTGCTTGCCATGTGTGGTAACACAGGAATGCACCAATATGTTAAGTTGTTAACCGAAGCTTTCAGGAAATGAAGAGTTGCGGTTTCGAGCCTGATAGAGACACATTTAATACTTTGATTGGTGCTTATGGTCACTGTGGGTCAGAGATTAATGCTACAAAACTGTATGAGGAGATGATTGAAGTAGGTTTCGTGCCATGTGCCACAACTTACAATGCACTTCTAAATGCTTTGGCTAGACGTGGTGAATGGAAAGCAGCAGAATCTGTTATTCTAGACATGAAAAATAAAGGCTTCAGACCTAATGAAACCTCACACTCTTTGATGCTTTAGTGTTATGCAAAGGGAGGAAATGTAAAAGGGATAGAGAAGATTGAGAAAGAAATATATGGTGGTCGTATCTTTCCGAGCTGGGTACTTTTAAGAACCCTTGTTCGTGCAAACTTCAAATGTGGAGCACTAGTGGGTATGGAAAGAGCATTTCAGGAATTGCTTAGGAGGGGTTATAAACCTGATTTGGTTTTGTTCAATTCAATGCTTTCCATTTTTGCCAAAAACAGAATGTATGAGAATGCCCATGAAACATTTAACTTGATTCGCTTCAGTGGGCTGCAACCTGATCTTGTCACCTACAACAGCTTGATGGACATGTATGCCAGAGTGGGAGAATGTTGGAAAGCCGAGGAAATTCTCAAAGGGCTATAGACAGTTGGTGGAAATCCGGACCTTGTGTCTTACAATACTGTCATTAAAGGATTTTGCAGGCAAAGGCATATGCAGGAGGCCCTAAGAATTCTATTAGAAATGACAACCAGAGGGATCCGACCATGTATTTTTACTTACAATACTTTTCTGACAGGCTATGCAGCACAGGGGATGTTCAAAGAAATAGATGAAGTGATCAGCTACATGATTCGGCACAACTGCAGACCAAATGATCTTACGTACAAGGTTGTGGTGGATGGTTATTGTAAAGCAAGAAAATACAAAGAAGCCATGGACTTTCTTTCAAAGATCAAAGAGATGGATAGCTTTTTTGATGACCAGTCGGTATAAAGACTTGCTGTCCGCATAAGAAAGAAATTGGAGTCATGAATTCTAAAGATTCCTGTCATTTTCCTTGCTTCTTGAAGAAAATACCTGGGTCAATCTTGGTGGAATATTTGACCAACTGACTGGCTTGTTCATATTTCTCCTCAATCAAGTTACGAATAGCCAGTCATGTATTTTATTTGACCACATTGGATTCTCTACTAGATTCAGAACTTAACAGATCAAGAGTTTCAGCCATTTGAATCTTTAACATTCAGATATCTTCAGAATGAAACCAAAGACAGGCATCCATGGTCATTGGTACCTCTGCAATTCGCTTAGTTGCTGCTGCTACTTGCCATTCTTCCTCCTATGCACCAGCCCTCAGTTCGACTGAGACTGAGATTGTTAGAAGCTTCAACCTTCTAATCACTTTGTCAAGTTTAGCTGAAATTTCATGCCTCGTTGTCCTGTAGCATATATTCTTTTACCATTTTTTGCCACTGAATTTGTAAATCTGTTTAATTCCTTGTACCTTGCTTTGAGTTGAACAAAATTAAAGCTGCAAAATATGTTTAAATAAGAGTAAATAGCATTCTTCTTCCTAACCTGTGGCTTGATTTTCAGTGTTCTCACTAACACTTTTTCATTTTGGAATCAATGCCCGGAAAGGGAAACACCTATTTTGGGTGTTTTCTTGTGGAAGCATAGAATCATGCTCCTAAACAGATCACCAAAATAATTTTGGTTTCCTTCAATGCTCCGGTACAAAGGTGTTTAGATATTATGCTACTTGAAGAGAATTAGAACTGATGCTTTCTCCTCAAGAGGCACTAAATTAGCATACTATAACACTAAGACTATACAAGAGGTGTTTGTTTTGTTATTTTGCAAACAATTATTATTTATTAGTTTTAATCAAACAAATTAGATATTTTAAATTATAAATAATAATAATTATCAGTTATCAAATATTAAAAATTAATTGTATCTAAATAATTAATTTAAATATCATGTAAGTAGTAAATTTGGAGACTCAAATCAATGAAATCTTTTATTCAAATTATAAAACTGAGAAGTCAATGCCTCTTCTCATGAATTACCCTCTATAAACATGTTTTTCCCTTTTGTTTTTTTGGAACAAGTACAATTTCAGGTGGAGGGGGGCATGAGAATAAAACCCAGCCACGGGCTACAGTTTGCACAACTGCACCAGTTTTGAGGCCTAGATGCCTCTCTCTAAGCATATGTTAAAGCTCAAATATTCAATCCCAGTTGATGCACTTCTGTGTCCCCGTACATTCATTTCTTGCCCTACTAGTTGAGAGTATATTTTATTAAGCTTAGACATCCAATCAAGACACAATGCACCTGCACCATACATGACGGTCGATGCTCGATACTGCCGTGGCTTGAACTAGGAAACTGAACCCATACCTGGATCCATAAGTTAACCAGATTCTTAGGTGGTGAGTACTCATGGATTATGTGCTACATGTGCCAATTAGCTAAATTTTTAGGCACATGTGTATTATATACGTATACTACAAGCACACAAGCTAATTAGCCCAAACGTAGCGCACATGCAGACTAAATTAGGAGGTGAGCGCATATGTATCTTTTACTCATGGATTATGTGCTACATGTGCCAATTAGCCAAATTTTACATGTGCCAATTAGCCAAATTTTTAGGCACATGTGTATTATATACGTGTATTGCCAGTACACAAGCTAATTAGCCCAAACATAGCGCACATGCAGACTAAATTAGGAAGTGAACGCACATGTATCATGTACAATTGTCCATCTCCCTTTCTCTCCCCATTGTAGTGTTAATTAGCCAGATTTTTAGGTACATGTATTATATTTATGCTACAAGAACATTTGCTAATTAAATTAGCCCAACGTAGCACACATGTGCTGATTGGAAGGGATGACAACCCTAGGGACCCCTTCATCCTGCGGGAATTTGACTGGGGCAAAAATTTAATGCCCAGTTTCTCTGCCCTCACATTTATGGAGAATTCTTGTCAAAATAAATTAAATGTTTTTATTTTAAATTTAAATTAATAAAGCTTGAATTTAAATGGATGGGCAAGTTTTTTTTGTGAATCAGACATTTATTAGTTAAAAGAATAAATAATTAAATTAAAATATGATATAAAATTAATTTTATGAAAT